TAGTTTTTCATCGAAAAATTCCACTCTAAATTCAATTTTTATCGCTAAATTAATGTATTGGAGATATACCAAAAAAAAACCTCGAAGTTTTGCGATTCAATTCCAATTTCCTTACGCGAATTACGCACACACTGTCCATTCACTATAATGAATTCTGTGCTTATACACGAACAAAGCAGAACGCATTTCACGAAGCCAATGCCTATCGGAGAATATAATCTAATAACGGTTTCAAATATCATGTTAGACCCGCAGCTTTCTCCATCATAATAGCAATTCGCCATGATATTTTGACCGGCGATGCAAGGTTGTTCATTGCAGTTCAGACTAGGAGCAATTTTCGCAAGACCCTGAAAAGGTACCCGAATATTTTTTAGGGATTATTGGATAAAGTAAACATTAAAAATCAGATTTTTACCATTTGTCAAAATTGTCTGAATTAAATGAATAAATGTAAATGAATTTCATAATTGTATTTAGTCTATAAAAATCTCGTCAACAAGAAATTTGGCGATAGTAATTCGCAGAAAGTTTTGATAAATTGATAAATTTGCCGTTTAACTTTTATATTTTTACAATCGAAATGCTGCTTTCTGCTTATTTTTCTTCTTTTTAGCTAAGAAAAATCTATAATTTAAAAAAAATGTTAAAAGTATATTATTTGGAGATCTTTTAAGAGAATCGATGAAATTTCCAAAAAAGATAGCGCAAATAATTATGGAACTTCAATATTATAAAATAAAATTTTAAAATTATGACATATAATCATTTAGTAAATCAAATGGCACGTGAATTTCTAAGGAATAGCAAAATTCATTCTTATTTCATAGCGCCAATGTTCGAGTTTTTACTCTTAGAATGACTACTTCCATATCTTTTGAAAATTCAAATGGCATGGACAATTCACTCGATAATATTTGTTTGATCCAACAAATGAGCAGATCAAGTTTAATCAGAATTATTTCTCAGAAAATATTATCGCAGTTTATTTCTAAAAGCCATTCTTGAGCAATTGAGGAATTTTCGGATAGACAAAGTGTCGTTAATTGAGCAAAGAGTTATTTCAAAAAATACTGACATGGGTGGCAATAAAAATGGATAAATAATGAAATAAATGGAACCAACCAGAATTATGAAGCAAGCAAAAATCATGGCGCTGCTCTCGTCAAACGTATATTTCATATATTTCAAATTCATCTATTTACGATTATATAAATGAATTCTCGAAAAAAAATGTGTTATTGCTATAAAACCAATTGTTAATTCGCCGATCAGAAATGAGTATTTGTCAAATTTTGTCAAATTTGCATATCGTAATAACGGTGATTACAATGTGATTTTTTGAAAAATTCTACATTAATTAGCTAAAAATTGCAATAAGTTGGTGAAAAAGAGTTTTTGAAAACAATAACATCTTATCAGTCTGCCTTATCAATCTGTTTTTTGGAAATTACATCAGAGTTTCTAGAAGATAAGAATTAAGAATTATTATTTTTATTTATTATTATTCTTATTATTAATTTTTTACTATTATTTTTTATTATTCATTTATTATTTTAATTTTGCAAATAAAATACAAATTTGGAATTTACAATACATAACTCTGAAAAAAGAATATCGTTGTAAAAATTCTTTTTACTTTCTTAGTACAAGAAATTTGCTCATAAATTATAGGCTAATGATCGAATTTTCGAGAGCAAATAATGATTAGCTTTTTATGGGAGAACACCTATAATATTCAATTTGATTGCTGAAATTCGCTTCTTTTCATGAAAGTTGGTTTCGTATTCACCACAAAGTTAGAAGAAAGGAGACTTCGCCTCTATCGAAAAAAAACAACCAGTTCTCTGCCAGTTTTATAATTCGAAACATTCGCTACTATGCCGTAGAGAAATTTACAATATGCATTTATATATTTGTATTTATTTTTTTCATATATTTGAATTCCTTTATCGTATCAAGTAAAACAATTTTGGAACTTAATAGTTCTCAATTCTCAGCAAATTTTTTAATTTTATCAATTTATTTTTATTTAATCTTAATTTTATTTTATATTTAATTAATTTTATATTTGAAAAATGTCGAAAATCTTTCGAAATATTTTCACTTTTAAGAATGATAACTTCTTTATAATTTATCCTATATAATCAAATCAATGAATAATTGAAGAATAGAAATTTCTTTCATTTTATTGAAGATAACAATTTTTGGGACTGATTATTTTATGATTTTCAGCTGGTATTTATGTAATCTTCTGCTTTTCCGATTTTCACCTCTCCTTTAACTGCACCATTTCATCGCTATTCCAGTCACCCACCGTGTTAGGTTGAAATAATAAATGTTCGATGCCTTCGCCTTCTTCATTTTTATCTTTTCTTTATTCAGTCAATAACGCTCAATTGTGCTTTTAGTGCCATTATTTAATTTCCCTATCTACTAAGCTGAAAATTAGTACGACGTTTTATTAGAATGAAAGAACAAAAGGATTTCCAAAATCATATCGTTTGAGCTAAATAAAAATAACGAGGTGGATAAAATTTAATAAAATAATCATCGGAGTAAAATAAAAATAAAAATAAAAACAGTTCTATATGAGAGAAAAAATCGGCTGTCTTAATTCAAAATTTTTTCACTAACATTAAACGAATTCCAAATTGCGTAAAATATCTTATTTATTATTTGCATAAAGAAAAAAATCTACAAACCTATAATGGCAAGAAAATACTGAAAGCCAAAGGTTCGCCTTCTGATAGGGACAAATCTGAAATTCTTGTGCTACGGGCGATCCACCTATTTCTATCACTAAATGACTTACCAATAAAAATTTTTAGTTGTACTAACTACGGAATCAGACAAACCATAAATTTGAGCACAAACCATTTACATAATGATAAAAGATATAAATTTATGCATATTTTTTTAAAAGAGAATCTTTCTGAAAAATTCGGGTCAAAACATTAATCAAGTATAAGTAATGTGATTAGGCAACGATAAATTCGGAAAATAATACGTAAAAATTAATACTCAACGCATCTCCCATTCATTTCGACAAATCCATCATTACACGCACAGAATTGAATGCAAGCAAATCGGTTTTGCTGATCGACAGGATTTTTCCAAATAGAAATTACTTTCATATTTCTACCGCAAGCCAATTGAGTTCCCCGGCAATCAGAATTATAAAATTTCTTACCAATTTTCGGCAAACTAAAAATCCATTAGATAAGAGGATTCCTACAGTAATACAGAGTCATTTTTTCTTTAACAGGTTTTGCCTTCATAAATTTTTCATAACTAAATAAATCTGAAATTGTATAATCCATGCATAATCCGATTGCATTTTATTATAGATTTTATGAAGGAATAAATATTTACCCGGGCACTGTAATATTTGTTGTTGTACTGTCATTGGCAAATATCATTGTTTTCTCTTTAAGGATCGAAGACCTTACACATCGGCCATCTTTCTCCACGAATTCTCTTTCACAGTCACATCGAAGAAAACATGAATTTTCTTTAAGAGTTTCATTAACTAAATTGAATATCATATTAATTCCACATTTGTCTCCAATTCGACGACAAGGGACATCCAATGTAACTTCTCCTAGGCGACAATTTTTTTTTACGCATCTCGAAACGGAATCTACGGTTGTCTAAAAATTTTAAAGTTAGAAAAGAAAATTTTGATTGCTTTTTATTAAACCACATCATATTTTCATAAAATGATCTGAAATTTAACCAGTCCGGATGAGAGTCAGCCATAAACATCCATGTTAGTAGGCATTCAACTGCTTCTTCAACCCGTAGGTATGAATCATATCCAGAGTAGATGTTATCCAACTTTTCATCATTAACATTTATAAGATAAAAAAGCATTGACATTGGCTGCTCTGGCTTTTTTTACGCTAAGGCATAAATTAATATAAATAGTGCAAAAATTATCTTGTGATTTGATGGCAGCTGAGTGCTAGAAATCGTAACTTGTTCCTCAAAAACCCGCAAACATTGCCTGTTTTTCTCAATAAAATTATTGCTATCACAGCTACAGCGCAATATGCACCTCGTAAAGAGAGCTGAGCCACTCAAAGGTTCCAGTTTAACGAATGTTTTAAATATCATATTGGTTCCACATTTCGTATCAGCCTGTATACACGAAGAGGCTCTAATAATTTCTCCAAGAGCGCAATTTTCCCGTTTGCACTAAAATCTTTTTCTTGAAAATAGTTATATGGGCAATCTAGTTGACATGAGGCTTGAAGGTCAAACCGATGAGTCTTTAGCATCATTCGGACATTTTTTGTTTATTTTTCGACATCAAGTGCATTCTACTAGAATATTCACATTCACATTCTACTAGAATATTATGCACCGATATGAATCAATGGGAAAGAAGGAAGGAAGATTCAAAGATTTTACCTTTCCCTTTCCATAAAATACTTTTTCAAAACGTTCCCTATTCTTTTCAGGGAAATTGCCACCATCGTATTCACACTGTAATAGACATTTCCTTAAACCATGAGTACCATATTGTAAATTAGAGATAATTTTAAATTTCATATTGTCTGCACATTTCATTTCCGCTCTTGTACATCCATAGTCCACGATAGTTTCGCCAATAGTACAATTTCCTTTTTTACACTGCAAATTGTCGTTTTTTTCTTTTTTTTTATTTAGTATTTTTTAACATTCGCTAGCAAATTTTTCAGAATTAATGCCTAAAACTATCAACAATTTCTATGACATAAAAAAAAATATTTTTTGAAATTTTTTCATGGAAAAGAAAAATTCGTAAAAATGTAAAATAATTGTTAAATGAACAAAAATAAGGTAATTGAAAAAAAAAATAAGCAAGTTTTTCAATCAGTTTATAGCTTAAATTTCTGGTTTCTTCTCTTAGAATTCCAGTTTCTGAACAGCAGAAATTGAAAAATTATTAAACATCAAATACTCATTATTTAGCTCAACTAGCTAACCACTTAGACGAACCTTTGCCTTTATTTTTCTGGCTCATATTTACTTAAAGATTTAACTCGATGTACAGATTTAGTACTATCAACTAAAAAAAGCAGTATTTAAGCAACTTACCTCGGATTGTTGCGATTCAATGCTGGCTTCCTTATCTAAATTTTGATGGCATTGTCCATTCATTATGATGGATTCTTCATTTACACATGCACATTTCAAAAGACACTTTGCCAAGCTACCCACTGGAGAGTATAAATTAACGACAACTTTGAATACCATGTCAATTCCACACCTTTTTCCAGCACGAATGCAATTGGTTGCGATATTTTGGCCGGCAGTGCAAGGTCGTCCTTCGCAGATCGCACTGCCAGCGATTTTCACAAAACCCTCAAATAAGCTCGTGAACGTGTTTGATTAATATGAGTTCCAATAAAAAATAATGGAATGAAAATTTCAAATTTTTAAATTTCGTTTCAATTTCATTAATCAAATCAAAAAAAAAGAAAATCTTCAATTTTTTGCATATTTTTAATTGTAAAGCTTATTAAAATTAGTTTATCTACAAGTGAATTCCATAACAATTTGGATTTGGTCTATAAAAATCCCGTCAACAAAAAATTTGGCGATAGTAATTCGCCGAAAGTTTTGATAAATTGATAAATTTAGCCGTTTAACTTTTATATTTTTACAATCGAAATGCTGCTTTCTGCTTATTTCTATTCTTTTTAACTAAGAAAAATCTATAATTTTAAAAAATGTTCAAAGTATATTATTTGGAGATCTTTTAAGAGAATCGATGAAATTTCCAAAAAAGATAGCGCAAATAATTACGGAACTTTAATATTATAAAATAAAATTTTAAAATTATGACATATAATCATTTAGTAAATCAAATGGCACGTGAATTTCTAAGGAATAGCAAAATTCATTCTTATTTCATAGCGCCAATGTTCGAGTTTTTACTCTTAGAATGACTACTTCCATATCTTTTGAAAATTCAAATGGCATGGACAATTCACTCGATAATATTTGTTTGATCCAACAAATGAGCAGATCAAGTTTAATCAGAATTATTTCTCAGAAAATATTATCGCAGTTTATTTCTAAAAGCCATTCTTGAGCAATTGAGGAATTTTCGGATAGACAAAGTGTCGTTAATTGAGCAAAGAGTTATTTCAAAAAATACTGACATGGGTGGCAATAAAAATGGATAAATAATGAAATAAATGGAACCAACCAGAATTATGAAGCAAGCAAAAATCATAGCGCTGCTCTCGTCAAACATATATTTCATATATTTCAAATTCACCTATTTACGAATATATAAATGAATTCTCGAAAAAAAATGTGTTATTGCTATAAAACCAATTGTTAATTCGCCGATCAGAAATGAGTATTTGTCAAATTTTGTCAAATTTGCATATCGTAATAACGGTGATTACAATGTGATTTTTTGAAAAATTCTACATTAATTAGCTAAAAATTGCAATAAGTTGGTGAAAAAGA